AAAGGTCCAGAAGATCAAAGTCTGACCAGCTTATAGTAATATATCTTAAGGCCAGTGCCTCTCCTGAGATGAGCAGGCTCTGTGAGTATAAGTCTATATTCTCTAACCTGAATATTAATAGCTGAGTGTTAACAATTCTAATTCAACATAGCTATAATTATAGTAAGAATCACTATAGCTAATTATCAGCTTCTGAAGCGCTGGCAACTCTGGGATAACTATTGTGTTTATAGAGGCTTGGAAAACCCCAAGATCTTCCAGAGACTGAAATAGGTAAAACAAGCTATGCCAGGGAAGAAGCTGAGGCTCCCAGGAAGCATGCTATTAGGATCATAGTGTCCATCTGATTTTAATATCTCATCACCCTTAATAGGTTGAGTTTCGCTCGCACTCAATTCTGAGGAAAGTTAAATAAATGCAACAGTAGGCGGCAACATAGCAGTGATAATAGAGTGGGAGGTGATCTCTCATACAGATACTGTTTAAAACTCATGTGGCCCATGCCGCAGACAGCGAAGTATATGCACGCTTCTGATGTGTATTATGAATTGTCCCAGGATTTCAAATATTCGTCCTACCCGCAGATGTTTATGATTCAAGACTGTGGGTAGAATGGGATGAAAAGTTATCTCTGTGTGCTTAAAGAGTGGTCCCAGCTCATGAGCCTGAAGTGTGATTGATGTGATGTAGAGTGTCTGCAGATCCTCAAATGAGAGCTATACTATTTGGTTCTAATGCAGCGGAATTTGGAGGTTTGAAGGATCTCCATACTCAAGGGGAATACATGTAGTAGAAATCCTACTTCCATTTTGATGTGGTTCGCTCTTTGTTTTTCTTTGGAGGTGCCAACGAGGAGCAGATCAAACAATCAATCACATTTGATTAAGCGCCGCCTCGCGAAAAAGAATTGAGTTCATACTGAGTATAGGAATAAGAAATAACGGCGTATACTCTGGTAGAACCGAGTGGAAAAGGAGACTGGTGAGCTCTTAGGATAGGAATTTTCGGACCCGGTGGTCCTCGTTTTTGTCCATGACCGTCAGTTCAACAGTATCCGGTGGATAATGCAGGACAAAGGAACTACCGTGATGCTGCCCGGTGTTTTGCGTGCACAATACTTTCCAACCTAACCCGACCTGATTAGCTCGGCGATTTGGGTGGGTAGCGGTAGTTTGTTATAGTCAAATTGCGTGAGCTACTGTACATAGTAGAACAGTTAATCATATGCTGTGGACACAAGCTGTTAGATGATTGAGAAATAAGCTCTTTCCCCATAGTGTATAATGTTTCTGTATATCTGGTTGGAATGGTTTCTTTTTTGGTCAGTAAAGGCAGTTTAACAATGTGCCACCAGTCAGGCCACGCTCAGATGCCTAAACTCGGTTCCGTCGATGGCAGATACTGTGTTGACAAATATCACACAGAACTTTAGCGGCGACATGTGCCAGAAATATCCAATGACAGGGATAATTATTGCTCGTAGTTCATTTTGATATTTGCGATAGCCTAGGCCGGCTTCAACTTTACCGTGCCGACCGTTCGAGGCCTTCAAATTTGCCTTGCCCAAAATAAGGAGCCTGGCCTGTAGCCACACCCTGGCGCAAGCTCAATGTAGCTTATCATACGGCACGATAGACAATAAGGTAGACTAGCTCTAATGATGTAAGGTCTAGAATGCGATAGGCTGTAGACCTCATAGAATTGCTGGTGTGACTGCCTCACGAGACCGCTTGCTAGTTTACCATGTTTGAAGAGGTTCTGGTCCGCCACTCAGCGAAACGAAATACTAGAAACGAGGTAGTGCAAATCCCCTCCATTAGACGAAAGTCTGACTTTTAAGGCTGTAATTAGCATGCTGGGTCATACTGTTATAAAGTTTAACTTATTCACATACATCCGAAAATCAAACTTCTATAATAATCAGGATACAGGTCAGCTAACCCTTCAGAAAAGTTTGCATAAATTAAAAGTAGGTTAGATAAACTAAAAGTGGGTTAGCTAACCCTATACTAGATAATAGAGGGAAAAGGCCTAGAATTACTACTTAATCTATTAAGTATAGTAATTATTTACTAGAATATCCTTAGTCTAATAAAAATAGCTATACTTATATTATAAAAAGTTATAGCTAGAACTAGGAAACCTTTAAGAAAGTATTATATAATATATATATTAGTTATTAACTAGTTACTAACTAGTTACTAATTAGTATAGATATAATATACTTATTAAAGGGTTAGCACTACTTAAATAATCTTTTTACTACTCCTAGTATATAATATTAAAAAAATATATTTATTATTATACTAGGGTTAGGGTATATAAATATTTATTACTAGATCTAAATATTTAATATATCTTTATTTCACTATTACTTCTAGAGAAAATATCAGAGATATACTCTAGAATTAGACATTCTAAATTATTATTAGGGGAGTAAGCTATATAAGGGTAAGGATTAGTTACTAACTAGTTAATAGGATATTCTATAGTATTAAATAATATTTTAATACTAATATAGCCTGCTCTTAGTAAATATTAATATATAGGCTAGTCTTAAGGCTAAGTAATACTTAGGTAAGTTTATAGTATTATTCTAACTAGTTATTAACTAGTTACTAACTAGTTAAGTTCTTATACTTCTATAAGTATTTATTAATTAGGAAATAGCCTAAAGCTATGGACTTCTATTTAGATAAGTCTTTAGCTTAATAGCTAATATAACCTAGAAGCTAGTAAACTTTCACTATCTTTATAATACTAGGTTTAAGGCTATTATAGTTAATATATATAATAAGTAGATATTAGGTAGGTATAACTAGTTACTAACTATTATAGATCTTAGTTATTATCTCTCTACCCTTAACCCTACTTACTAGCCATAGATATAGTAATTAAGAAATATTATAATTCTTTATTATATTTACTTTCTATAAACTATTTTAAAACTACTTAGAATAGTAGTAAATAGTAATAATCTAGAGAATTCTTCTTATTCTATCTTAGTAAGAATGAGAAGCCTTCTTAATTATAAAATAGAAGATAAATATTATTAACTTATTTAACTTCTTTAAGGTAAGAACTAGTTAGTAACTAGTTAGGGACTAGTTAGGAACTAGTAAATATAAAATACTTACCTTATTATCTTTTCTAAGAGGGAGAGGAGGGAGCTTTAAGGCATCCTATTTAAGAGTAGTAATATAGTTCTTATAGATAGTATTATAGAAAGCTATAACTAGTTAGTAACTAATTAGGAACTAGTTAGATGGATACTTACTAATTACTACTACCTACTTATTCTATATTAGGGCCCTCCCTTAGTTATATAGATGTTATATTTACCCTTATAGATAGATAGAATATATTTTTTTAGATTATTAAGACTAAGAAATCTACTTTAAATAGAACTAGTTAGTAATAAGTTAACTTAAAAGGTAGATTTCTTTATATATACCTCCTTAATATAGCCTAGGTAATAATAGAAGATCTTACTAATAAAGATTTTAAGATAGCCTATTTCCTATTAACTAGTTAGTAACTAGTTACTAACTAGTATATATAAACTAGTTAATTAACTTATATTTAACTAGAAGAGAGGAAGGTTTAGCTTATTAAGACCTAACTTAAGATAGCTCTTATAGGATTCCTATAATTAGGTTAGTATCTAAACTAGATAAGGACTAGTTTAGAACTAGTTAAAGAAATTACTTATAGCTTTCTTTATAAGTACTATTCTAGATAATTAGACTAGTTAAGAACTAGTTAGCTAGAAGATATAATATATAGATTTCCTAACTAGTTAAGAACTAGTTAGCTAGCTAGAATTAAGAGATAAAGGTAAGAGTATTCTAAGATAAAGATAAGAATATTTAGAAAGTAGAAGACCTACCTATAAGGTGTTTAGAGGAGAGGTAGAAGTAAATAATAAGAGAAGTTAGAGTAGATATTAACTAGTTAATAACTAGTTCAAAGAAAAAAAAAATTAAGAAAGGGGGGGGGGAAGAAAAAAGAGAGGGGGAATAAGATAAGAGAGATATAAGAAGGTAAGTTATAGTATTAAGTTTAGCTAACCTTTATAGTAGGGAGTGTTATCTAACTATATATATCTTAGTAAATATTTCTAACCTTAAGCAGGGTCACCCAACCTTAGTTATGAATGTCTGAACTTTTCCTAAAGGTCAGCTAACCTGTAGTCACCATAATAATCCAGGTGGGGCTCAGAGGTCAGGTTGCAGTTTCTGGCTCTGTGGGCTACTTTACAGCATCTCACCGTCTTCCAGTATTGTTGGAACCTGAATGGCCATCCTCATCCTTTCAGCTCTGCGCTGAAGAAGCATCAAACCAACCTTCCAGTACCCACATCTGCTGGTTGACTATTGGGATTAACGGTATGAGCATACGTTTTCCAGAAGCCCTACGTTAGGCTGGATGAAGTTTTAAGGCAAATTGCTGCATCCTCTGCCCAGGTCTGGAATACATCCACTGTTTATTATCCTTAATTGATATGCTCGGTGGGCGCTTTATTGGTCGCGTAGGCTATGAAGGAAAAGATTCTCTGGCTTTACCGCGGACAGCGCCATGCTCAAGTGGCAAGCAAGGGCTGTAGCATAGTTAAACCCTGGCCTAACTCTGGAACGCGTGGCATGATCGAATTGCACAGCACTCCGGTAACATACCGACTAGGATGGAAAGAAGCGGGTCGGTGTCGACGGGCTGAATTGACGAGAGTTACCTACCAGTTAATATAAATAAACCTGGTCTATCCTTGGTCTAGGTGTTGGTAGTGGCATTGACGTTGAGCCGTCCACAGTGCTTTTATAAGTCAGATAAACGGCAAGCCAGAAGCTGAAAAAAGGCTAAGCTTAAGCACATGACTGTCCTGTCACACCTGCATTTTTGTTAGCCACCTAAAATCTGCAAAATCAGAACCGGAATCAGATCACTCAAGCAAAATACCGGACATCGTCAAGTCTTGAGATATGCGTGTTTAGAACTCTATTATGGCTTCCGATCGTATAGCCAATCTTATCGAGGACGAGGCGTTAGTCCAGGCACTTGATGATCGCGCCCCAGAGTATGCGGTGCTCGTGCAGTCAAGTACTGCCACTGCACTCCGCAATTCAGAAACCGCGGACCTTCTGGAGGTCACAGTTTGGGATACATCTGTTGAGGAGCGAAAGAGAGTTTATTCTGAACGACCGCCTTTCAATACCGATTGGGCAGCGTTGTTCTACAAATATCTACGAGAAAGGAGTGTGGGCCAAAACCGGGAACTAGAGACAGGCATTGATACTGTGATAAAGAACGCTGTTCTCGATGCGTCTAAAGCATTTTATACTTCCGAGGAGACAATTGCTATACTATCAGGAGAGTTAGTGAAGCAGGTTGATATGAACGAGAAGGTCCGGAAAGCCATATACGATGAGTTGCAGTCCACGCGGAAATTAGCCATAAGGGAGTCGAGGGATGCAGTCGCTGCACATACGCATGTTATCCTTGCTGACAGGATGCACGACGTCATGGCTCAGTCACTCAATCACGCCGTACTAAATACCACAGTTGGCAGTGTCGTTGGACACATGGTGCTCTCTGCAATGGCGCTTCCCGCAGTCAAGGTCGCCGTCACCCATTCGATTATCGTTGCTGTTCATAGCGCGGCTGTGCAGCACATGCTGGTATTGGTAGGGAAGAAAATAGGTGTCACAGTTCTCCTTGCACTCATTTTCGGCCATGCGGCAGCGTCTTTGGCCGGCTGGTTTGTGCTTCCAGTCATTGCGGCTTTCGTCACGTACCAATATCAAAGATTACCAGACACTTTAGCAAAGAAGATACCGCCCGAACTAGCGGAGCAGATTAAGCAAAACGCACCTACAATCAATAGGCCTATCGCCGAAGCTGTAAAGACAGCTGCAATGGAGGCGTTCTTTTCACTTTCGGATGAGTCAATTTCCATGCTCCATGATGCTGCTATGAGACCACAGGCATGCAACTATTAAATTCTTCTTCGAGTTTCTTTGTAATATTCTCAGAATGGACGCGTTATTTTAGGCACTGTTAATACGCAATGGTATATCGCAATGCTCCTGTTTCGATAGTTCAAGGCACTGCTAAGCAAGGCATTGCTTCCTGAGGCAGGACAACAAATATCCTGTACGAAAAGCCGCTCAGTTGGACGGATCAAACGCAGAAAAACGACTTAACCGGCATCTGATTCGCAATAGGCATAAGATTCTGTATGTGTGTCTCACCAGCTCGCGAGAACTACTCCATCTGCGCCCTAAATCACACATCGAGTAACAACCCACCAATTGGCCATTGCATTCTCCTATTTAAAGGTACATCTACGCTAAGTTGGCGATGTTCAGTGACGGAGTATTGCCCGTCTTGCCCGAAAATTTCCAGATTACAGCCAAGTTGTCTTTTAAAAGATTTGAACTTTGTCCTTTTCCACTTATAATCCTACACGCCTTTCAATCCCATGGACTTCCTTGAACTTATGGGAGGCTATCAGGTGCTGGGAAAGGATTGCGACTTTTTACCCCGTTTCCTTCTCTTCTTCGAGATTTGGTATCCTGCTTACATTATTTTGGCCATCATCATTTTTAGGATTTCGTATTATCTTTGATAAAGCATAGTCGCTGGTGGTTACAATGAGTGGAAAGTTTTCTAACGCCGTCGTGGGAACAATGCCTGGCAACCATATAATTTACGTGCTCAGTGTTCTGCTGGACGACGGCCTGCGGTATACCATCCCCACCATTACAGCCAATCGCAGGCCACCCATTATCTGCACGTTTATGGGACACTCATGTCCGCGGCTCCACTGTGGAAGTGGCATGACAACACATCGGTGTTTTACTGAATTGCTTATCGCCATAAGTTTCTGCAAAACTTCCCTGCTTGGTCCTGTGATTGCAATCAACTACCGGCTTGCTTCAGCTCTTAATAAACTACTCGGATTAAAAGCAGATTACCTAGTAAAAGCAAGCCCAACGCCTTATACCGTGTTAACCGCCAGCTCCGCATGTTCAGCTCCTACCAGGATTTTATTTCGGAATGCTTTTTAAAAGCTTCCGAAACCACCACTGATAGTGGACGCTTTTAACTGGCGACAGGCAGAATATGGACAGGCTATAACCAGGGTACAGCCTGATTCAGTGAAGCTGTGTGCAATAATATCCAGGACACGGGAGCCCTTTCCACCGACTATGTGCTTAGCATGAACTATGTGTTTGGTACGGACAAGTATGTGGTAGAAAAAGCTCGCCATCATGACTGGAGCTATTCGTAGTTAGGATCCCCAAAGACGAGGGCCATAATATCAGCATGAGGTAACATTGTCGTCATTTTTGGTACCATGTGAAATTGTGTTAGGTTCTAAAATATCGTCACCTTTTCCAACATTCATAATTTACTTCCCAAAGCTCACGCTTCCCTGTAGAGGGCTAGGTCTGATTTCCACAGCACTTGGGTTCAGCAATATGAAATACTCAGTATTTGCGGATTCATGGACCGAATATGCTCCCATAGCCACTATCATCTGTTCATCAGCTGCAACTTCTTTATTACTAGGGACAAAGGGACCTAGTGGCTTAGCATGGTCAGCTATCAGCGTATTCGGATCTCTACCTATCATCAGGGCCGGGCTTGCAGCATCATTCCCAGATTGGCTCCGTTACTGCCTTAGATTGAGAGATGATTTCAGCGACTCGGCCATCGGATTCCAGCTGAGACTTAATACGAGTATCTTCAATAATTTGGCCAGACAGAGTCTCGGACCAACCGCTGTGGGGATGGTCCATAAAGAGAGCAAAGTATGGTACCAATACCCACCCATTCCCTAATGGAAGCTGAAATTATGGACTGATATTTGTCAGGATCTGGATGTCTACGCATTGGACAGCTTTACGGAACATTTTCTTCATGACGCACCAGAATGCACTCAAGGCCAGCCACTAACCGTGTACATCTTTCGCGCCTATAATGATGCACCACCGGTTGCTAGAGAGTGGCTTTATCTGATTTCGTCCCTGGTCAAGTTTATTGAGTTTAGTATATTGTGGCACCTAGGCTCACTCCAGCTTGGTTTAGTGAGTATGCTTGGTTATGCGGTCTTCTTCTCACTTGCATTTGTGCTACAGCTCAAAGGCCTCCTACGGAGATACCGCAAGGCTTCTGGAGACCATGGTGATGTTCTGGATATTGCTGCTGGGAGTTTACCATCTGCCAGAAGGCCTAAAGCAGGCGATCGCCAAGTCTACCTAGGTATTCCTCAAAACTTTCGGCGCAATATCTGGTGGACAATCACATGGGCTTTCGGTACACTTGTCTACGCTCTTTCGGTTCCTTGCTGCTATGTGCTTCTGAGGATGCAGAGAAAGGAGGTCAAATGGGTTTGGATTGGGTTTCAGAGCATTTGGATGCTGTTGCGACTCGTATTCTTTCAAATAGCCAAGGACGCTGATACCCTGAAAAGTCACCCACCCGAACGGAAACTCTTAGCGGAATTGGAGAACGGTGAACGAGAGAAGTTGTGGAATTTGCTACTTGGACTGGCGAGATATCAGATTAGCTTTCACCCCCGGGGTAGCTACTCATACAATGGAGCACTTGAGACGATTGAAACGGTCTTCAAGGCGCGCTTTCAAGATAAGCTGCCTTCTCTTATTGGGGAAAAGCCGGATATCAGAATTACGGGCATTGTCGATGATACAATATTATCAGCTGCTGCATGGTTGAAAGGCTCGGAGCATGATACTTTGAGCTTCTACGACTGTTGTGTGATTTCAGTTAACCACGACGGGCAAACTATAGCAATTCCTGCATGTCGTGTCCTTTATACGCTTGACAAGAAACAAAATGATGAAGAGAAGGGAAATAAACCGGAATTTGTACCGAAGGGAGGTCCAAATCGCGGAAGGCAGTACGTTGGATGGTGTTCTTGGATGCCACTTCCAGGTCGCCAGTGGCTTCAGGTCAAAAGCCGTGACCTGACTGTGACTGGAAAGGATAATGAGATCAAAGTCATGACCGATTCTGAACTTGACGAAAGGCTAGAGAAGAGAGATATGTATATTAGTCTTGGAAAGGCGGACCAGGTGAGGTCAATTGTTGAGAAGTCGTCGGAAATTTGGGACGATTTGATTGATATTAAGCGTGGCAGATAAAAAGCTCTCATGCAACTTCATTTGCATCAATAGCTTGCCACGTCTGTACACCTACCCCGGACCCCTTACCACAAAAAACAATCCATGTTTTTAATCCTGTGGAAATTGTCGCGAAACTTCACGAACATCTCATCTTTGCTCAGAATAACCATGCACTTAAGATCAATCGTTTCTTTTTGGTTAATAACCAATCAGGAATTAATCAATCAATCAATCATCATAGTTACATATACAGACCGCTCTAACACCCACCTCAGTAAGACCTATTTCGCAAACCATAAGAACCTATGCCTCCTCGTTGCACTGATCCAAATTCAGGAAGGACAGCTTATAAAATCTTCCTCAGAACGTACAATGGGTGCCGTCAACTCAATCACGCAGTGCCTGCCTTCACGGCCTACCTACCAGCAAACATCACCCACCCGCAAGACACAGAACATCGCATCTAGCATCATCACAATCATTCCAACCAGCGTATCAACGTAAGCCATCGAGAAAGGTCTCGATGACGCTGTCGGCATAACAAGCTGGACAGGATCGCTAGCTCAAGCCATCCTCCATGGCGTTGAGAATGCCATCAATACCAGCGCGCAGCCGACTGAGGCAGCATCCATACACTTGCTCGAGCTACAAGCGAGGCCTTTGAGTTTTCCCATGAACATTCTATCTTCATCACTACTCCTGCTTTAGATGTTTTGGTCATTTTCACACCGTGGATTATTGAGGTCCTTGGATTTGGAGAACTGGGTCCGATTGAAGGGGTCATTTGCGGCATCCTGGCAGAGGATGTATGCTTGGTATGTGGATGGATAAGTGATTGCATGTCCTCGAGTCGAAAACACCTTAAGGGGCCTTGTAATAGAACATGTGAATATAGCAGTACTGCATCAGTTTCGTCAAAAGCACATGAGATCCCTTGGGATATTCGATACCCTAGGACATTGCCGACGCCGCAGGTCTCAGTATGGAGCCGCCTTTAAATTTTCTGTACACAATCGACAGAGTATCAGGCTATCTGACAGGGTCTGAGAATTGAAATTCATAACCACCCACCGTTTCCATGCATCATGGATACATCACGGGTGAGGAGTGTGTTCCTAATCTTGAAGACTTAAACTATGGGTGACGGAACCAGGCCAGTTTTGTTTTCCTTACTTGACAGGGAATCGGTGATAAACCGTTGAAAATTGATTAGAAATGCAAAATTTTGTTCGACTCCAATCCCCAGTATCACATTTCCACTATAATAAATAATCCTTATCCATAATGTATTCGCCTCTCCCTATCGCAAGGCGGTGGGGAAATTGGAAAATCACAGGTATGCAAGGCGACGCTCTGGAATTCACCCCTAATGTAATGGAACAAATCAACTCAACACAGCCGTCACTACATAACATTACCGTAAATGTAAATATGATTAAATGCTGAAGGAGCGTCTGGAGATAGGTGGCCTGATCTAGCAAAAATCTCCATTGCAGGGATGCAAATATGATGCGGTCCGTCTTGAACTTCAAAGATTCGACTGTAATAACGATCAAGATTTTCTGGTTGTTGAGTGATGTTGGTTTCGCTCATTCCTATGAGTAGAACGCCCCATCGAAAATGGTGCACACAAATCAGTGTTCAACTGGACCAAGTGCGATCAACCGTTCGGTCCACTTATCTTAAGGTGCTAAGCAAGCCTCCTCCATTCTGTTCCGATGCAGCTATATTTTAGCCAACTGAGAGTAGAACTAGTGTGAACTGTGGTCAGCTGGTGATCCACTATGATCAACTCTCGGGCCCACTTAGGTTGAGGCTCTATGCAAGCCGCCTATCCCACAGGGGGC